AAAACTCTCATATATGCGTTGTTGCTAATGCGACTTAAAAATGCGCTCTATTCGTTATGAATATCGATAATTATTTGTAATTCATCGTACCTGATTATATCTAATAATTTAAATATTTATTCATGGTTGTCATTTGCATGGATTATCTTTAGATATATTTTGCTGACGTGACAAAGGGTCTGAGACAGCAAAAAATACATAGGACCTATAAATAAATGCATTCAAATCTGTCGATAATAATAATCTTAATTATAAGACTAAGTGACGACTTTGAATTAATTTCACATCAGCTGATGAGGTTTTGTACTATTCTAGAAGAAATCAGTAACTTCACATTGTTTGGAATAGGTAACATGAATGGGACATTTCGAGATAAATTGAGGAGCAAGATCTCACGTGGGGTATGTTGAGAAATATGGTCTTTATGAAAGGTGCATATATAGACAGAACTGAACAATCAAATTTAACACTATTTAGGAGTCATTCTTATTCCTTCTATTCCTGTTGTGATTCTGCAGACGTAATTTATGCTTAAATATCATTTAGAAGACAAACATTTGTTTTGACTGTTCATTGGAAATATAAATGCTCATTCAATCTATAATATTGATCTTTATCTCTTGTGAATTATTCTGTGGAGTTTTGAATTATTCCATTTTGACAACGTCACGATGCTTGGTGGACCGGTACATTTCATGTCTGAAATTATTTCGAAAGTTTTCATTCTTTTGGACCTTCACATAACTTTATATTGACTATTTTGGATTCACTTAATAATACTGTAAATGCCTCTCACATTTTCATATAAAATATTGAAAAATAAATTATTTACAAAGTTGTACAAAACGTGTTAGCTTTGCTTCTTTTTATTAATTAGTTTGTGACCATAGAGTCGTAAGATAAATTGGGGGCTCGTCAGGGATACAAATTTATATATATTTTCTAACATGTTTATGAAAATGGATTTTTGTTTAAAAATAAATAAATTTGCTTCATTTCGGACATTTTTCTGTGCCTGCTCTTTTAGATTTTACATAATGAAAACCAACCAGCTTTCACATTGTCATCTAAGGTGTAAAATGTAAGTTTAAGTTCTACACAAGAACGGTTAGTGTCCTATAAAAAACACGAAGTTCTCCAACATGCTAGAAAATATCTTGTTTTTCGGAGGCAAACTCAACGTTGTTAAAACAAGAAATAAAAATGTTTGTTTCAATATTTGGTAATAAAAAAGTTTTTGATTAAAGTTTTATGGGCTTGGTTAATTTGTCTTCATCTGTCCCTAAATTGCAAGTTTTAGAGTCTAAATTAAAATACATGAATGAAATAAAGTTATATAATATTAAGCTTCAAGGAAAAGAAAGAGAGGGGAATTCAGAACGAAGAAATACTGATTGAGCTAAAATTACAAATGCAAATGAAAATGTAGGCAAAGGAAAGAAAGAGAAAACGAAGGAGAGATACAATGCGGGAAAATGAGAGAGAATGAAATGGAAGAAAGGGAGATGCAAATGAAATTGTAAATTTCGAAAAAAAGAAAAAGATAAATAAATTCATAAAGAAGAAAAATATATAAAAGTTTAAAAAGGACAAAGAGAAATGCTAATGAACTTGCAATATACAAGCAAGAAAATAAATGAAAAAAAAAGTTGAAATTAAAGAATTTGAAGTAGCTAGCATACAACACTCCAATCATGCAATTTAAAGATTGTATCTTAAAAATGTGACAGATAATCATTCCCATCTTTCATAGAAATTGATGTTCAACAATATTTGTCACATGTTAAATAAACAACCGATAATTTTTAATGGTCAGCACTGGAGTTTGTTATTACAGCGTATGCCTATTGATAAAGCATGTGAAATGTGTACTTCAATGTCAGTAGAACCAAGCGTGATGATTATGATTTGGCCAATGAATTTAATTTGCACCGTTGCGATTTGTAACTGATACATATCAAAAGAGATTTCGGAATTGCAATAATGCCTACCTGGTTTTCTCCTACAGACACTATTTAATACGGTAACAAGTGGCACTGCCTGACATGGATTTATCCTACTAACACTATGTAACATGGTAACAAGGTACATTCCCTAACCTGGATTTCTCCTTCTGACACTATTTTGCATAGAAACAAGGTACACTGCCTGATGTGGAGTTCTACAGACACTATTTGACACGGTAACGAATGACACTGCCTGACCTGGATTTCTCGTTCAAACGCTATTTAACATGGTAACAAAAGACACTACCTGACCTAAATTTCTCCTTCAGACACTACTTAACATGGCAACAAGGTACATTGTCTGACCTGAATTTCTCCTACAGACACTACTTAACATAGTAACAAGTGACACTGCCTGACCTGGATTTATACTATTAACACTATGTAACATGGCAACAAGGTACACTGCCTAACCTGGATTTCTCCTACGGACACTATTTTGCATAGAAACAAGGTACACTGCCTGACCTGGAGTTCTCCTACAGACACAATTTGACATGGTAGCAAGTGACACTGCCTGACTGGATTTCTCCTAGAGACCCTATTTAACATGGTAACAAATGACACTGACTGACCTGGCTTTCTCGTTCAAACGCTTTTTAACATGGTAACAAAAGACACTGCCTGACCTGAATTTCTCCTACAGACACTACTTAACATGGTAACAAGTGACACTGCCTGACCCGGATATCTCATACAGACGCTATTTAACATGATGATAAGTATCACTGACTGACGGAGCTTACTCCTACAGACACACCGTAATGTAATCCAATTCCTGCTTTTAACATTTGCTTTTGAGATCTAATATAAGAAAATACAGTTTAAAAGAATTAATTTAAATAAACACTTTAAAACCACAAGACAAACACCATAAGTTTTCTTTTCTATAAAGTTGATAAAACTGCTTTATAATGTGTTTTCTAATCATTTTTCAGGTCAGTAACTAATCTTTAACGGGTCAGTAACCTAACTTTTCATAGTTGTTTAAGGGGAAAATAAAACAAATTGTATGCAGATACTTTCCAACTTTTCGAAGGTAACACAATAGACTAAGACACGTTATTTGAAATGATTAGTTACTTCCCTTACGCTATCTAGGTACTTTGATAGTGGTTGCTATGACTACAATCACATTGGAGCATATAGTCAGAACAAATGAAGTAATTTAGGCACAAGAATCCAAACATACCACATGAAAAGCACTGAGATATTAATATAGATCGATTCAAGACTTACGTTTAAAAACGATCAAAACGGACATTAAAACACAAAATACATACCTATAATACACTTACATTTACATAACGTTTATGTACGTACATACATACATACATACATACATACATACATACATACATACATACATACATACATACATACATACATACATACATACATACATACATACATACATACATACATACATACATACATACATGCATGGATCACTGCATGGATGCATTCATAACTGCATTCATACATTAACACACACACGTCTACATGCAAACATGCACGCAGCACGTTTTAACTTCTTTTTTCCACCCTTTTCTTTATCTATTTCTCTATAACTTCTATTTAAACCATAACTTCTCATATTTTGTCATTCTCCTTCTAACACTCTTAGAGAAGTTTTATGCTCCGATCTTAGCTCTGCTAACTTCTTTACCTTTCAATCCATTCCTTAATCAACAATTCACATTCACTCATATCTCATATTTTACTAAGATTTCAATGTGCCATCAATATAAATATTTTATTTTTACATCTTGATTTCCCTAACATTCTTGGGTGCAGCGCATGTGAGAAAAGCTTGTCTGTACCCTTTTGTGTGTCGGGGGCTTGTTCAATACCCTTCCCAAAATCATCTCTACCAAATTTATTGGCCGCCATGTATTGTCTAGCTTGTGCTGAAAAATGGCGTTAAAGCCTGCATAAACAAACCCAAATTCCCACAACATAGTTTTGATGAAGTTGATGACTTTTTCGATGACCAGATTTCTATTTCACAAATGATAGCAATCTTGTTATGTTGTTACCTTGTAATATTTCAATATTCTCATCAATATGAAAAGGCTTTCTCGTAAGCTCTTTTAAAAAGGTACGAAAGGGACTCTTTACTCATCAATAGAGCGAGTCAAACACATTGTACTGCATCAATCATTGTATCTTTGGCTTCAGATGGGAATTCATTGTCCATCCTTTCATAAATGTTCAGCACCCATTCCTATGTTGTACTTTTTAACAAACATCACATCCAGTCAAAATTGTTTTCTCAGATTCATTAGTGAACTTAATCTTTTTCCACCTTTTGAACTGAATTTTGAACACACCACACACTAGTCTTTGACTAAATAGACTTTCACCAAATGAATGGTACATTATCTGCCTCACCTCTCTGACAAACCTTTACAACCAACATTTTGGCAGAATTATTTCTCTTCTCTCAGTTGAAAAAGTTAATTAATTATTTTCTTCCTAATCCTAATCGTAAGTCCTTCGCAACATTTGGACATTGTGATGTAAAACAAATGATATCGTGCAAAAAATTTTCTTCTTTTAGTCATTGACCTTGATGCTGCAGCTTTTGACTCCATAATTAATTGTCATATCTTTATCATAAATTCAAGTCAGCCATAAAGACCGATTCGGGTATGCCATGCACAAATCGTTTATTATGTAAGTCAGTAAACGTTACCTTATATCTTTTTCTCCAAATATCAATAGGGATTGCACTATGCTCAAGCTATTCACAAAGCGTGAGAACCACAGATAATAGCGAGCTCTTACAATTAGGCAGAGAGCACTGTTCTTTTTTCAGTCACAATAACCTTGACGTTTGACCTCTGAGCCCCAGTTTTGTTTTTTTATCTCAAGTGCAAGACATCCAAACGTTTAGCAATTGCAGATGTTGGAGAACCGAAGTAGCTGCGTGCAAACCAAATTAATACCAGACTGATGGATGGTAAGCGTAACATAATACAATTCACCTTATGACCGCTCTCGTGGCTTAGTTGTTAGAGCGTCCGTCTCGGATGCGGTAGGTCGCGGGTTCGACCTCCAGCCAAGTCATAACAAAGACTTATAAAATGGTATTAACAGCTACCTCGCTAAGTTTTCAGCATTAAGAAACTTGTGTTTAAACTGGTAATGAGACTGGCCTAGGCATGATGAAACAAGTCTGCAGCATGATCTCCAAGTGCTAGACATTGGCATAAAATGACATACTGCAGACATTGTAGTGATGTGACTAAAAAAAATATTAAAGCTACGTTACAAATCCATATCACACACACACACACACACACACACACACACACACACACACACACACACACTACCTTACGGCTGGCATATAAACTTATCCCCAGCCATCTTTAGTAATAGAGTTATTATAATAAACCAAAAGTTCATTCAAGAATTGCATATGCATTTTACTGAATAAAAGTTTTAAAAGCTTTATATATTTTCATGCAGGGTCTTTTAGTGATAATAAGATCACATTTTGTACTTTTATACTGCTATAGGATAGTTAGAATTTGGGATATTTTGTGACGCAAAGTCACAATTTGCAAGTGAAATATAAAGAATTGTTATTGTCACTATTCTTCAGGTAAAGTAGGTATTCAGCTCAAATTGTATCAGTTATGTGTGTTACTTTTAAAATTTGATTTAATATAGAGTGGTCTAAAGCGCTCACATTTCGGATCACTACCATCTCACCTCTGCTTAAGTTCTAGTCTCAGTCTCAGCTAATGTGGCTACGTGAGAAAGTTTGCGAGTAGCTTCTCGTGGGTCGGTTGTTCTTCCTTGGGTTTTCTAGGTTTCATCAGCCACCAGTTATTCTGCCCGCCATGTATAGCCTATCTTGTGCGAAATCCCACAAAAACAACAACATACCTATTCGATATAACTTATGATAAGTATATTTAAATTTTAATCCGATTGATCAGTTGAGAAATGAATTACTGAGTTAGGAAACGAATGATTATTCTGCATTGTAGGGACATGTTTACAATATTTTTTTAAATCGTTTCATGCCATACTCTGTCTTTGCCATTGATCTATGAATATTCTCTCTCTCTCTCTCTCTCTCTCTCTCTCTCTCTCTCTCTCTCTCTCTCTCTCTCTCTATCTATATATATATATATATATATAAAAATATATATACACATATATATAAACATATATATATATATATATATATATATATATATATACACATATATATACACATATATATACACATATATATATACACATATATATATATATATATATATATATATATATATATATATATATATCTATATCTATATATATATATATATATATATATATATATATATATATATATATATATATATATATATATATATATACATATGGGTCTTTGTTATATAATGTTGGCAGGCAGTTATATGTATTTACTAATAACTTACATTTTTTAATGACGAACATAACATTTTGTCAACCAAATGTTATTTTTTAATTTCCCTAAGAATAAACAGACTGATTTGATTTCGTACGTGGGCGCCTTGAACTCAGTATGTCCTTGACTGGAATTACCTGGACAGTTAATCTCTGTAGGCATATTTGTGCACATATAATGCTTTGACATAGCCGTGTAGAATTTTGCCTGATGTGACGATGGTGCACGTCATTACTACCGTACGTGCTTAATTTTAAGTCAAGTCAATCTAAAAAACATCAAAGAATCTGATCTGCCGTAGCAAACTGCTCCAGCAGATCAATGTACGTTATTTTGTTCTATTGATTACTCCTTACAAAGTGAATGGACCTAGATCTGAAGGCACATGATGCGCCAGCAGTTCTGGATCTGTGCAGTTTGTAGTCAGACTCGTCTTACAAAATAGGTTTGTAAAAAAGATAATTGACTATGGAATAAACTGTAGCTGCAATAACAGTGCCCTTACACACAATTGTATGATTACTGGCATCAATTAATTAAACAAAGACGTGTACATCATTTTTCATCCATGAGCAGCAGAGAGGGTGAACCCTACAACAATATATTTGCGACAAAATCGATTAAAGCCTCAGAATGCCAATGGAGCCTTCCTACGAAATCTCATATTTTAACCAAAAAAAAATTAAAGGTCCCATCTTAGCGATTTTGTCGTGAATACATTGTCATAACCACACTCAAATTGCTGCCATCTACGTCTACAAATTTTTGCGACAGAATCGATTAAAGCCTCAGAATGCCAATGGAACCTTCCTACGAAATCTCATATTTCAACCAAAAAAAAAATAAAGACCCCATCTTAGCGATTTTGTCGCAAATACATTGTCATAACCACACTCAAATTGCTGCCATCTACGGTCGCAAATATGTTGTCATTTCACCCTCTCTGCTGCTGATTAATACAAATTATTTAACCGATATTTGTTAGCTTTTCACAAACAGACTAATCGATAATACTTCACCACGTAGATCAATTAAATTATTTGACTGATCGGTGAGTGTAAAATTAATTCTAGTTAGTGAATCATTTTGACATTGCATATAGACTGGATTAGTCGGATTTTCAACAATTAAAAATCCGGGGGGTGCTGTTGGTGAAAATGAATAAAGAATGTAACCTTGTCGGGCTTGATTTGATTGTTCCATATTAATTTGATAACTTCCTTCGATTACATCACACGTTAAATTAAGTGCGATCACCGATGAAATATCCACATTGTTCGGTGCGATATGTCTACCGTCGCCGTCGGGAGAATTATTATGAGTGAGGATAATAGGCTTCGGCTGGCTATCTTTCCATGATTGATAGATTTTATTAAATCCTTCGTCGATGGCAGTTCTGAGTTTTTTCTTTAACTCGGGAACGTTATATCCTGGTAATTTATAATTTGGATTTTCATTTATATTTTTTTTATAATCTTGAGCTGAGCTAGTTTTTGAAATCGGGCTATTTTCATCAGTGAAGAGATTAGTAATCCTCGAATTAAATATTTCCATGTCATCGATGATTTTATTACCCGCGGCGACTACACTAGTAAACTCAGCTTGTGAAAGAAAGCCAGATCTTAACGAGGGTAATAACGACAAAAAATCATTATTCATTCTATCAAGGATGTGATCTTTAATATCTACAAATGTTGGACTTGTTTCATGTATTTCCAGAATTTCACCTTCCTGTGGGATATAATCATTAAAAAATGGAATTCTCCACACATCTTCACCATATTGATTCTTACGTCGATATCTTTTTGTAAAGTTTATATCCTCGAATTTTTTATATCCTTTTGATGGATTTTCAGGTCCTATTTCATCAGTGACGTAATCAGATTTTACAGGCTCGGGCGTGGAATTATCAGCACTTCTAGGTGGATCTTCGGGCCATCCTAATACTGTTCTTATTGAACTGTTATAAATATCTACAACGTACCCAGGAGAGCCTATTTCAATTGTAGATGATAGTGTTGGTTCATGAACTGTTATCGCAATTTTTGATTCTTTTTTAGTAATGGATTTTATTCTACGTTGTAATTCATTATTAATTTGCTCAATTTGATAGGACCCAGTTGGTATTGAAACAACGTTCCAATCTGGAGTGTCATCTTTTTTATTCCTATATGCAAATACCAGAGAATTATTAGGTCTCTGACCGCCAAATGGAACCGATCTGATATTAGGCCAACTATGATACACTCGTAATTTTGCCAACGCGATTTCCTTTACTGAAACAGGTGAGGGAAAATTCACACTGAATTTAGGGTTTGTTGACGATATTGATATCATGCTTGTTTTCCGCGGAGTGGTATTTTCTGCTATCCGCTGAAGTAGTTGAATCTCTTGCGACATTATTATTATTATTTACAATGTCTAATTTTGCAATAGATGAAAAAACGCTAGCGTTTTTAATCGTAGTATCATAAATACGTATCATCGCGGAGAATTCATCTTCGGTAATTATCGTATCATCAATCGATGATGACATCAACGAGGATAATTGTGAGTAACCGTTAGATACTGCTTGATGTTTTACTATATAGTCGTTAAGTTTTTCTTGAGAACACGATGATATTTTTTTAGTAATAGCATTTGCAAGTCCAGCAAATGTTGTCACCGCGGAAATAGCAATTGGGACAGCAATCGGAGCTACCATTGTTACTGAAGATAGTATAATACCAGCACCGGCCATTATACCAGATACCGAGTATACTGTAACATCAATTACGGTAATTCTCCTGCGATACTTTTTAATTTTTATTTCATATTCATCAATGAGTGTTTTGAGTTTTGTTAAGAACTCTTTGACGGTATCATAGCGATATTGCGATGATGGAATCATATTATTTTAAAACCTCAAGTGGTTTTTAATTGTTTAAAATTCTAATTTAGATCAGCTACAAACTCCATGTACCATACAAATGATGTCTTATTTAAATTAGGATCAGTGCTTGTTATTGTAAACCGTTTGTATTCACCCACGTCAATAGTCGTTGAAATCACGTTGTTGTATCCATATGAAGTCGATGATGATATATTAAACTGATTCAGTGACACTATTGTTAATCGATAAATACCCTTGTTTGACACAGTGAGGGTTACTGTATTCTTTTTAGGTTCCCAATCTAATGATCCAGAGAGAACTGTGTATATCATATTTATGATATTTCTCTCATGAGGAATCTTTATTCTTTCAAGTAGCGGAAGATTGTCTGTTTTAAATTTTGTAATATCCTCGATAAATTTTTTAATACTATTAATGCTATCTCTAATAATACTAAATCCAGCATCATTAATATTTTTAATACTAGCTTTAATTTCATCAAAATTGGATTTAATTTCAGCGAGAGATGGAGAGGTTACCGCTGGTGTTCCAAAGAATTTATTGATAATATTTCTACGAAGGGAAGTATATGTTGTTATATGTTTTTCAAGTTCTTCATTTAAATTTTTTAATGCATCTGTGATTGTAGAAACAAATACACCCGGTTTGAGTTTTCCATCATTTGAATATAACGCTATTGTATCTTCAACGACGTCACGTCTTCGTATTAAGACATCATCCAATGAAACATTACTAGATTTCAATTTGC